GGATGCCATGGTAAAATCACGCGCTGCACCCGAACTATTTATTCCCTGCACCTTTCATGTGGCTATTCTACACTATCCATCGAATTTTTTGCTCAAATTCATGCCGTACATTGTAGGTTTATGTACGCGACACCGTTCACCCGTGATGGGAAAGCTCATGGTGATCTCAAAGATCAATACAAGCGGCGTACAATCCTGACAACCCTGCACAGGTACAGCGATTTATGTTTGCGGTTTTCTAAGATCTGATCAGTGACTTGTGCGTAACCGCAATCGCTCGGCTATCCACGAACAGCTGCCGTTTTGTAGTGCAATTCCTATTCGCGCCTATTTCGCGAGCCAAAGAGATGCGGTTTGTTCTTTATCAGTTTCAACCAATCCCTTCGGTTTTCTTGTTCTTTTTTCAATTCCTGGATTTTTCCGGCTCTTGTTTTCTTCCTTTCTTCTATTCCAGTGGTTAGTCGGTTTCGTTGGTGAAGCTTATCTATAGCCTTACATTTTGGCTTGGGTTTCCGTCTGAATTCTGTGGTTACGGTTAGCTTAGCTGGATTATCTTTGGTTTACAGTTTTCCCTACGTAAAAACCCGTATACGTGTTGTGGAACGAGAACAGAAGGTGTTGGAGCCTATCCAAGTGGCTATCGAAGATGTCGAAAAGAAAACTAGGTAATCTTTACCATATCCCTTCAAAGATTTCTCGTTTTTTTTNTTTTTTTTCCTGTTTTCGGAGAAGCAAAGTTTGAATATTGCCTGCTAATGGAAACTCTGATTATTTGTTCAGAGAGCTGTCTGCGGCCATTGCTCAAAATCCACCTGATGCGAAAATGCTTCAGATGGTGTTACAGGGGTGTATTGGTACAACTGTGAATCAGGGTCCAATTCAAGTCAGTGATCCTCTAGCTGTTTCTCACCTGCATTCCGTTGGCCATACTCGATTTTCATTTCAGGTAGCTAATGTGTTCTTGACCGATATAGCAGTTAACGAAAATGGGAAACCGATCGATAAGTTTCAAAACAAGTTGAGACTTTGCTTCCATGATTTCTCAAAGAAATGCGCTGATGCCCTTGTTCTGAATAAGCAGCTTATACTCCCGGACCAGTTGGCTTATCAGGTAGGTTTTTCCGACATTATATACGGTTCCTTTGTTTTTCATGTTCATGAATGTAAACGCTTGCGGTTATTTGCTAAACTTCAATAGTGAGGGAAATGTGGCTAGCATTATAAGTTATTTACCCGAACACTCGCAATAACAAGTTTTTGCGTGAAGTCCTTGCTGAGCAGTACTATGAGACGATTTCAGTCCGAGCTGCAGAAGAATTACATAGAGTTCACTCGAAAAATGGCACCAATCATTGATGGAACTACTCGAGCTACTGGTCGTAAGGATCTGGTCACCAATGCAGAACATGCGCTAGTCGTAGCTGCAGAAATTGGTCCTGTAACCTCTGTCTGACGAGTATCGTGAAGGTTAAACTTCTGTTGTTTTTTTTTTTGAAGCAGTGTTATTATACTTTTTATTATTTTGTTGCTAATATGAACTAATATTCCAACTATCAAGGGAAAATCTGTTTTTATGACCCTTTACCGGACAAATTTGTGCCTGTGACTTTACTCTTTAACGAAAAACATGCCCATTTAGTTATTACCGCCTTTCCTCCGTTTTTTTCGAATGCTGAAAATGCTGGGTTCTCCCGACTGATTTGGATTAAGCCGTACCGGTATACTCAGTGGAATAAGGTATCCATCGAGGAAACGTTACCACTGAGTAGCAAGGGTAAGCCGAAACGGGAGTTTTGCAGCGGTAGAGGGCAAGGGGCTCGTGAACCCACTCAGTCAAGCCTCAGTCAGGTGTGTTTCCTTAGAACTCACCCGTTACAAATTCAATCGTCTGAGCTGTTTAACCATCTTTCTTGTTACCCGAGCAGTGCTTCTGCACAAGTGGTCTCCTTGTCTGCTTGGTGAGTAGGAATCATGCAGTGCAGGCGCACATTTGTCCCGATTTGTTACAGGGAGCTCAAGTGCAATGTTGTTATACTTTTTCACATAGTGTAGGTGCATCTATCTATATGAACTACTTTATGTTGGCCAGATCTTTTATTGATTCCGGCTTTACGGTTAATTTAAGCACGGTTTTTCCACGTTTTAATGCTGATGAATCTTTTTATTCGCCAAGAATGCCCATTTAACTTTCACCGTTTCTATGTATTGCTTTACTCATACGTTCTCATCTCCATGCCTTGTTCTCGCGATGGTTGCCTCTACACATTCGACGGTGTGCGTCTAGTTTAGCTCAAATCTCTTTGTACAAATATCGCGCAAGTCGCAATAAAAGCATGAGTAGTGAAACCGGTTATTAACTTATTCGTTAACGATTGTATACTTTAATTTTGAATCTCGATCTATGACACAATGTACCGCATAATGACATGCTTTGCCGTTCTTATATTGTATAGTTTTAGGTTAAAATTATGATGTAAATATTGTTTAGGCAATAAATTATTTGATGTTTTCTTGGTGTTTTCTTGCTTATACTCAGTGCTCAGACGATAATTATTTCGACATTTTCTCCATGAATTGGTAATTTTGTTCGGGATTATTTCGAAAAGTGTTCGTAAAAGCAGGTAATAGCACGATGCCTATGCTTCCACCCACTGTCACCATTCCCCTTCGTCGAGCAAATTACGGAGATCAGAGAGGTGAGCATTTTGATGGACCCATTTTTCCCTGACTGCTTATTTTTCATTTTTATCTCAAATCTTAATATGCGCATTATTCTTGGAACCCATTACATAATGATACTTTTCATCTCTTTGATTTTTGTGGTGCTCAAATTAAACGGTATTGCCGTCTTTCGTTTTTCTTCCTTTTCCTTTTCGAAACAATCTTTAACTATTTATTTTTAGATGATTCCGAGTATCTATTCAATCCAGAAGTGTTGTCGGCAGATTTGGTTGGTTCAGTGCCAAACGGCTTCGTTGTCAGGCCACTAAAAATAAGTGACTACGACAACGGGTTGGTTCATTGCAAATATCAACTATCCTTCGAAATAATATGTCGAATCTTTCCGTGTTTAGGTTCCTCGATGTCCTGTCACAGTTGACAGTTGTTGGCGAGGTATCCCGTGAAGATTTCGAGAACAGATTCAAATCTATGAAAATGTGTTACCCGCCATCATATTATGTGGTTGTCATTGAAAATTTGAGGTGAGGACACCACTTTTGAGATCGCTCAGTGTTGGTCACAGCAGTAATACAAAGGGCTTTACAAGAAAGTTTGCGTAGTAGGATGTTTGAAGTTTTGAGACGTGGGGTCACAGGAACTTCTGCGCTTCTGAAGTTTATTTGGATCTTGTTATGTGAATATATCCGAGGTCATTCCATTTATTTTTCGTTTTAAACCTTGCCAACTTAAAGTACACCGATTGCTAAGCGCCGACAAAAATGGCCTCTTTATTTGCTTGTCTTCTCCTTGGCCACAAGATTTGTAGAAATTTTTATCTAATGCTGCAATTTTTCTAATCTTTCTTGCTTTGTTTCCGACTAGAATTCGGTATTTTGCAGTGATGGTCGTGTTGTTGGTGCAGCGACGTTAGTGGTGGAATGGAAATTCATCCATCAAGCAGGATGTCGTGGGCGCGTAGAGGATGTTGTGGTGGATAAAGAAATGCGAGGAAAGAAGATGGGTGGTTTGCTGAATAAAGTGCTTGTTGCGCTTGCAAAAAAGGTCAGTCGGATAATTTCTTAAAATTGCCTTTTTTCTTTTTTCTTTTTGCCAACTTAATTGCGATGAAAGTTTGTTAGACTTAGTTGAAGGCGGTATTGACGGTGACTTGGCCCTGGTCAAATGTAGTGGTTGTCGACAGTCTGTCCATCAAGAAAAATTAAGGGTGTTCACGGGAAACCCCTTCAGTAGGGTGCCCATCCAGCGCTAGTCTCAGGTGTTCGTTCCGCGAGAGAATGAAATATGAAGACGGCTTTTAAAAGACCATTAGTTGAGTCAGTTTCGCTTGTTAGTAACTCAGGGGGTGAAGCACAGGTACGGCGGACATGCTTGCGAGCTCAATGCGCGTTCACTAGCTCACTTTCCGCTGCAAAGAATTTTGGAATGTTTTCTCACTTTACCACCCATCATACCTAAATTTTCCCTTTTCGCACATTGTTCACTACGACCGTTTCTTTATGTTCATCCTCGAATGAAGTTCTTCCCTACTTTCGCTATTATATTTTTCTGTTTTTCAAGTTGGGTGTGTACAAGCTGTCGCTAGAGTGCAAGGACTCTCTCATTCCGTTCTATGGACTCTACGGCTATGTGAAAGACGATGGAAACAACTTCCTAGTGCAGCGATTTGACAAGGACAATGGGGAAATCGTTATTCCGTTTGAAGACGAGAGTGATGACGGGAAATTTTTCATTCCAAGTAGTTTGTAAATTTTGTATAGCGTCTGTTTATCTTTGAGAATTTTTGAATTTGAAGTTTTCTGAACGGATACTGTTGCATAATTTGTGATCGAGCTCCTACCTCCCATAATACTTGTGATACTATTTTTTATCAAATTGCCGGTGTATATTCACAGGTTGGTTGTGAATAAAGAGTTTTATTTAATGTGTGCTCTCTTGTACGCTTATTTGCAATCTCCGTTGCACACGGGGCTCTAATGCGATGTTGTTATATTTTTTCACATAGTGTAGGTGCATCTATCTATATGAACTACTTTATGTCGGTCAGATCTTTTATTGATTCCGACTTTACGGTTAAATTAAGCGCGGGTTTTCCATGTTTCAATGGTGATGAATCTTTTTAGATTAAAATTATAATGTAAATATTGTTTAGCAATAAATCTTTTGACGTCTTCTTGGTGTTTTTATTTTACTTAAACTCAGTGTACAGCCGATAATTATTTCGATATTTGTTTTGAGATATTGGCATCTTTGTTCGGAATAGTTCGAAATGAGTTTTTCAAAATAGGCATCAGGACGATGCCTATGCTTCCGTCCACTGTCACCATACCCCTTCATCGAGCAGAGTATGGCGATCAGGGAGGTGAGTATTTGATTGGCCAATTTTTTCCTAACTGCTTATTTTTTCACTTTTCTCTCTCGAATCTCAACATGCACATTATCTCGGGACCTAATATATAATGATACTCTTCAACTTTTTGATTTCGCGGTAGCTCAACTGACGTGATTGCCGTCTATCCCTTTTTTTCCTTTCTCTTTTGGAACCACCCTTTAAGCTTTATTTTTCAGAGGAATCTGAGTATCTATTCGATCCAGAGGTGCTGTCGGCAGATTTACTCGGTACAGTGCCAAATGGCTTCGTCGTCAGGCCACTAAAAATAAGCGACTATGACACTGGGTTGATTCATTGCAATAGTAAATATCTTTCTGTATAATATATCATAAATCTTTCCATGTTCAGGTTCCTAGACGTCCTGTCGCAGCTGACAGTAGTTGGTGAGGTATCCCGTGAAGCTTTTGAGAGCAGATTCAAATCTATGAAGATGTGTTACCCACCATCATACTACGTGCTTGTCATCGAGAATTTGAAGTAAGGATTGTATTGTTCGATTTATTGTCAGGGATCATGTTTATAGTCGTCGCGGTAAACGCAGTTCACTGGGTAGACAACTGAATGGATGTTTTGAGGCATAGGACCAAAAATGTTCTCACTCCATTAAAAAACCTCGAAAGTTTATGATGGATTTGCTATGAGGATAAAGTGTGGTCTGACTCATAGGATTCGTCGTTATTGTTGTTTGCTACTAATATTCGATGTTTTGCAGTAATGGCCGTGTTGTTGGTGCGGCAACATTAGTGATTGAATGGAAATTCATTCATCAAGCAGGATGTCGTGGGCGCGTAGAGGATGTTGTGGTGGACAAAGAAATGCGGGGAAAGAAGATGGGCGGACTGTTGAATAAATTGCTTGTTGAGCTCGCGAAAAAGGTGAATCAAATTCTTAGGAACGTAGAACTTCCCAAAGAGTCACCCTTTACATGTTTTCTGTCAAGTTATCTTTTTGTTACGTCATGTTAGCCCTATTTGAAACTGATGGTAACGATATTTTGTTCGAAATGGTAGGCGGTCCATGGACCACAGGTCAAGAGGAAACCAAGCGAATCCGTCGGAAACACCTAAAATTCGGGTCGAACAGCTGGTTCCAGGCCATTTAGGTTTTTCGTGAAGGGAAGTAGCGACGGAGTTTAGAGGCGACCATTAGCTGGTTCATAGCATGCTAGTGATTCAGGGGCGAAGCAAAGGCGAAAGAGGCTTACGGCATACGTACGGCATTCAAGCTTGGGGGTTCGTTGTGCATCCATTAGCACATCTTTCAAGACACTAAGGCGCTTCATAGTCAGCCACCTCTACACCCGACTTTCCTCTTCACTAATTGTTCATTATGAACGCTTCCTTTGAGTTTGCTCTCAAATTGAATGTTTTGCTCTGCTTCGCTAACACAATTTTTTTGTTGTTCCAGATCGGCGTGTACAAACTATCGCTAGAGTGCAAGGACTCTCTCATTCCGTTCTATGAGCTCTATGGCTATTCGAAGGACATTTTGAATAACTTCCTAGTACAGCGATTCGACAAAGACGATGAGATCGTTGTTCCGCTTGAAGACGAGAATGAGGATGGAACACTTTTCATCCCCAGCAGTTTATAAATTTTGTATAGTTCCTGTTTATTCTTAAGAAATTTTGGATTTGAATTGATTCTTTTCTGAACGGATATACTGCACAAGTTGTGATTGAGCTTCTACCTTCCATAATATTTGTGATAGTTATCGAATTGCCGGTGCGTATTAACAGGTTGTTTATGAATAAAGGGTTTTATTTTTCTGAATATATGTTCTCTTGCGTCTGAGTTATAAACTCGATTCATACCTAACTGAGGCGTTGCCTGGATTGGAGCTTTTTGTAGAATGGTCCTGTAGAATGATTTATTCACAGGTGATCATTTTCAAATGATATGTCATCGGTGCCCTCACTAGCTGCTCTAGATCATACACATTTAAAGTGGGACAAGGAGTGGATGTTTCATAAGCTACCTAAGGTGAGAAATACGTGGTGGCTCTGTGCTGGTAATTCCAGTTCCAGCAGATTTTTTAGGATAACATTGAAATACCTCGTCATCATCTTCCCGACCCAGAAGCAGAAGCAATCCCTGGTACAACAAAACAGGTGCCGTTCTCGTTTCTTTGGATCTTGTTAAATAGAAGAGGGACGATTGCGCTGTAGTTTAGCAGGGAATCATTTTCTACTCGGTCTTTCAATCCCTTCTTCCCTCTCTCTCTCCAAAATCCGTTGCGGGCTATACCTTGCTAATATGCGTGATAGTTGAAGTTTCAACGTTAGTAGACCATCCTAGAGTCAACTCGTTTTAGGAATCCTTAGCGGATCTCGAACGTAACTGGTTGGAATCCGGAGTAGACCGGATTTCTATGGGTGCAGTGTCGACTGACAGCAACCCTGTGTAAATTGAGAAATTTGTCTTTCATGCTATTCAAGGTGAATTTTCCTTTCGAATATTTTGAAAGCTCTCCCTTTCTCCCTTCTTTCTATCTTTCATTTAAGATTTAACTCTACTGAAGTATGGGTAACGAGCAGAGTTCGAGTGGAACTTCCCCTCAAGCTTCTACAAATTCGACGTTTTCGTTTTTGTCTGGAAAAGGTTTGTTACAGTTTAGTAGGTTAAACCGAAAGCGTGTAAGGTGTTTGGTTGGTATGCTTCTTCGTTTCAATTCAAACTATCGGCCCGCTGAAATTTTATTCTCTTAACAGTTAGGACAGGAGTTTTGATGCTTAATGCTTAGTGCCTAACTGTGAAGGTTTTCAGAACGTTAAGTCTTTTATTTCATGATGCTTTTTTAAGCTCAGGAAGTTACCTTTATAGGTAGACATTCTGTATATTCATGGTATAAGCAGAAAATCTCACGTATTCGAAGTATCAGATATTGATGTGATTTTGACTTGAAGGCTTTCGAGCAAAGGGTTCTCTGAAAACATTAACCATACTTTTCTTCTCCTCCCGTATACTGCTTCAGCATGAAGGACTGAAAAATTAACCCAACTTTTTCAGGGAATTCGAAAAAATCGAAAGGTATCGTCGTGGTCAGCGGGGGTAACGCTAAAGTTGAAACGTTAGAGGACGACGAAGTATACAAACGATTCAAGGTTTGTTTGCATTTGTTGTACTTGACATAAATACGACCATTCTTTTGCTTGTAGTTCCCTGTTTTTAAGGAAATCCCTCGTTTTTTACCGATTCTTCGACATGCTATTGGTAAGAAAGATATTCCTCAGAGCGAAATCCCGCACAAAGTTAACAGCCGGCCGTTATTTCGGTAGGGAAGATTCTTTTTTCAACAGTGGTCACCGTTGGAAGATGTTTTCTTTTTCCAGGATGGCGACGCGTTTCCAACAACACTTGAAGATTTGTGCGACAACAATAGCAGCAGATCAAAGTCATATAAATCAGCTTGTAAAATCGGTAAATACTCGATTGTGTCATTTGAAGAACTATATGCCAGTAGAACAGTTCTGTTTGGTAAATGGAGGGATATAGGCATTCCAAACTAATTCACAGTATTTCAGGTAGATGCTTCTGTGGTTGCAATTTCCAATCGTCTAAATGAGAGAAAGAAAATGACTGATAACTTGATTGCAAATCTTCAAGACCTTGATAAATTGCGTGACGATGTAGTTCATATTCGGGTGAGCTTTCATTTTCGTTTATTTTACGGCCAACTTTTTTTCAGCTCACACCAATAATGCATTTTAGTTGCTCTTCGAACATCTGGTTCCAATGGTTGAGACGATAAATGAGATACTGGTGCCATCGGAGCGGTTACCACCACTGGCTTTAAGCCGTGTTCTGGACCGCACCCCTGTGTCTACCTCAGAAAGTTCGGAGCAAAGCACTCCTAGACATAATCCTTCTGGCAGCGGCTCACAATCACGTTCAGCCGTTTCTCAGGATAAAACCACCCGTATTTCACCAATAGAGGAAGTTCGAGTTGTTGACAGAAGGAAGTGACCAAAACACGTGGTAGCACTCACTATCTCTTCGGAAGGGTTTTCTCAGGTCTTGTAGAGCGTTCGATGTGCCCAGTTATTTTTCTTCGAAAGTGAGTGGGTGTCTGTTGGCTTGAGTTTCATTTCTTCCATTAGTGAACAAGTTGTGGTGCTAAGAAATGTCCCGAGGGCCATTAGCTTTGTTCTCTCTGCATCCAATTCTTTAGAGATTCTGTTACTCCCTCAGTTTCCATCTCAGTAGCTGTACTTACAATTTTGCTACTGTTTCTCTCACTTGCGTTGTGATTTTTTGCTTGTCGTTGTTCTTGGAATTTCTGTCGATTTACGTGTGCTTTGTTATTCTGAACCTTCATATATGTGTACGATAATGATTTGTAATAAGAGATAAACGTTTGGTTTTCACTTATGTAGTTGTATTTCGGGTATTCCAATCAGTACTAGAAAGGTGATTCAGTTATTTACAGCAGGTGACTTCCATGTTTACAAAGTTACTTTAGGCTCAAGGGATAGATAAACTATGAATGAACCGGATCTGAGTTTTATAAAGTCGGATATAGATCTTTCCGAGGTTAGCCATTCCGTTCAAGTAAATGCTTACATAATTCAAGTTTATGCTGGAATTGTGCGTGATCGGTTCTCTGAACATGCACACCTTCGAGTGACCTACGTGTCTGAGACGCGTGCGGTCGTGGTGCGGCATGCCTAGTTGTGCCACTTCTTTAGAGATGCGTTGTTGCTTTACGTCAAATAATAAGAGCTCATAGGGTTCCTTTTTCAGTTGAGGGAGGCTAGAAGACTGTGAGGCGGCTAAAGATAATAGAATTGTTTCAAATGCTCCACTTCGGTTTAGGGAATACAGCTAATTGCTCGTAGAGGAGAGAGCTTCATAAGAGTCTTTTAAGGTCGCACCTCTGAATCGACGTCGTGTTGTTGCGCTTGTCAATTGCTACCTCTACAAGATGATCGATTTCTTGAATGCTTTTGCGAATCGAGCAGAACATGCGATTCTGGAAGCAGAACGACAACTCCGAGCAGCTGACATAAAATTGCAGCTATTGGAAGCCAAGGTTATAATCTTTTTTAAGGAAATTTGTTTCTCACCCCATCTCATTTAATACTTGGCACATTACACGGATTATACTTATTTGTGTACGTAAAAGTGAAGAAATCGTGGATTGAGGAGAAAATCAGCAGTACGTTGAAAAACCGAATTAGGATCTCTGTTTTCTGGAGCCGATTTTGGCTTAATCGTAAATCATTTCGTTGTTTTAGTTAGCTTCAATACCTGACTCGACTCCAGATGGTACAGGACAGCAATCAGAAAGCATGCTCCAGACCGGTGCTACTCTGGTTCGTTTTCATGTATTTGCATTCGTTGTGGAACCTAAACAACTGCGTTTGATGTTTGAAGTCGTGGGCTTGACTGAGGTAGCCTCTGAAGGACTTCGGCCATCTAGATTCTTCCCTCTTACAGAGTCCCTGAACGACTCTTTATTGTTCTCTAGTAGATGCAATCCTACCTGTTGTCAGCTCTTAGATGCCCTTTGAAATGTTCCTATGGCATTGATTCCCTTTTTTTATGTTTTCTTCAGACACCTTCCGTTATGGATAGGATGGATGTCACGTCTCCACAGCAGTCGGACACGCAAGAAATCTCGCAGGTCTCTTTTCTTATACTTTCACCATTTGTATCTCTCAAAAAATACTGTGGGTTCAGGCTGCTGCTCCTCCTGAGGCTTCTACTGAACTCGTCATGGCTGCCAACACGCCTAGTAACACGCTACTGGTCAAAGACGATCCAACTTTTGCTAAATATTTCAAGATGTTGAAATTGGTAAGACAGCATGGTCACGAGGGGTTCGGAAGTATTGATAATCACACATGAAATGACATGGAATACAGCCATTTTTCCGTAACCCTCTGTAGTTGGATATTCTGGCTATTCATTGAGCTGCTAAGATTTCATATCCAGCATTAAGCTGACCTAGTTAGATTGAAAGAACTTTTTTGGGGCTTCATAATCTAATTTAACAGAGGCATTTCGCAACTAAAGGTTTCTGGAGCGCCTCCTAAAACGAACCATGAGCTATCTTCCTTTTTTCTGTTTGTCGTCACTAACATTGTGCAGTACAATGAGGATCAATGCCGCGAGGCTTCTGTCATGCTGGAAAACCATAAGTTTATAGGAAGGGGAGCTAGCTCCTTTTCTATGTTAACTACTGTTTCTTGAAAGAGGTCACTAGAGCATTTTCAGGGTGTCGTTGAGCCTGCGGTGAAACTGAAGATGCAAAGTGAAGGAGTCGATCCATCCTTGTTAGAGTGAGTTATTTCCCTCGAAAGGCATTATTAGCTCTGAGAATTGACGGTGAAATTTCCTGTTCCTCTTCTCTTTAGTCCTGGGGTAGGGGTGCTGTTTTGGTATTCTGCCAAGAACGTCGGGTAATAGCGGTAATCCTGAAGTGACAGTTGGTGGGAGACAACAACTGTTGTTGGCTAGAGTTGGAGAACTGTATAGTCGTTGAAAGACTATCAGATTTAGATAGGTATTGAAAGATTATACGCTCCAACAACTCGTAAATTTTGCATTTTACAAGTTTTTAAGATTCTGCAAATCGATAAGTATCAAGTACATAGAAGTAGTGGAGTTGTAGCATATGCAATCTGCAAATCTCATAAGGTTGGCGATTTGTGGGCAAAACTCCAGTCTCGGACGGGACTCGAACCCGTACTTGTCCTTTCCGGGTGCAATCTATCAATCAACCTCGGACTTACGCGATTCTCCTTTCCAACAAGGGTACTATACGTGTTCCTGCCATCAGGCGTACCCACAATAGCGACCCTGATTCTTTCTGCGCAATGAGGGAAGCCCTTGTGCCATAATGGGACCTCGAATCCAGGGTTCTTGACGTCATTTCCCGGTTATATAGTATTAGATAAGTTGTGTGGAGAAATAATATAGGAATATGGTTTCGGTTGAACTCATCACGACATTTTATGGCGCTTTTAATTCTGAATGCTTGGATTGTCACAGATTTTCTCAGTGTTTCCCAGCTGTGAACTCGTACTTGTGATTTTCTTCCAGAGAAATAAGGTTTTTAGTTGGAACGAGCTAAATCTGATGTCCAATATCTAGTAACCCCTCTAAACGTTAATGAATTTAAGACAATTGCATGTTGGATTTGATTGTGAGCTTTGCTGTTTTTAGCAATCCAAATGCTCCTTCACCAAATGTGGCCAACGCGACACTACCACGTAGTGAACCAACGAAGGACACCAGCGACACCTCATCCGTATCGTCGTTCAGTTCAGATTCTGATTAGCATTTCACTTTTACCAATTTATTCACTTATTTTATAAATATCAGTTCCAGAAGTGTTTGATCATCGTAATTTGAAAGTTATTTATAATGAACTATTGGATAAAATCTATTATATACGCTTGATGCTTGATTCTGCGCCTAGAAAGGCTTCCACTGAGGGCACGGAAAGGCTTTCAAAATGCTATGTAAAGTTATAATATAAGAAATAGGAAAGCTTTGGAACTATTCATATCATGTCTACTAGGCATCATTCTATCTCAACCTGCAAAGGTTTTAGCTGGTTTTTTGAGTCAAAAGTGGCTAGTGGTGGGGTGATTCCAGTTCTTTATGAACGATATTAAAAGGCTTCTCTTCTTGATCGTCATTATATCGATAGTAATGGCATTCCTTCCAAGTGAGCAACCCCTTCAGGCTTCTTCAAGTAGACCGCAGAACCTTATTCGAGACTATTTTAATCCAAGACTCCTCAGTAGTCTCTTCAATTTCGCGCTCTACTGACAAAACGCGACGCACTTGCCGTCAGAAACTTCACAAGGTTTAGTTCACCCGCGAAACTTTCCAGTTCAAATTTAGCGTTCAGGTGATCCAGTAATTAAGCTAGATTTGAAGCTTATCCTCTGATTTTGTTTGAAGCATCCTTGTGAGCTTTCTGGTGAAGCTTAGCACACCGGAAATGAAATGTCTACAAGTGGCAGATTACGGTTGAGCGTGAGTTCCTTTCGATTAGTTGCTCGGTTATACTCTGTGGTTTTTGTTATTTGTCGTCTTTAATTCTTTTGTATTTTGAGGACTTCAAAGATTTGGAAGAAATCGGTCGGGGCGGGTTTGGTATTGTTTATGCTGCAACACATCCTAATGGAGAGCGTATTGCCCTTAAGAAGGTAATTCGAATAGTTCTATTTTTATTTCTTGTTCGACTTATTTTGTTCGCTTTATGAAACTTTTGTTTAGGTTTCAATTAAGTTCTGTCTTTCTAGATTTGTTCACGAGCGGCGGCTGAACGAATAAAGGGGGAGATTCGTGCGATAAGATGCATGCGGCATCCTAATATTGTTCAGGTAGGGCAGTGCCTTCGACTAGCTAGTGCAAATTTCAATTCATTGAAGAATTCCAGTTCTTCGAAGATTTCATGGATGGTAGTGATACGTATGTAGTAATGGAATTATGTGAGCTTGGGTCGATGCGATCATATGTGAAGAAGAATGGACCATTAAGCGATCGAGCGGGTATTGCTTTGCCATGATCTCTGGAACTTCCTTCAAGTTGTTCACTGAAAAGATTCCTTCCTTGTTTTTAGCAGCGTATGTGCTGAGACAGATCATAAGTGCCGTGAAGTATATGCATCGAGAAGATGTTCTGCATCGAGATCTTTCTACTGGAAATGTTTTGATTAGTAGGATTTTCTCACCTGAGAAGATATCTGTGGTCAGTTTCTCCAACAGTTTTTGTTCCTTGAACTATAACTCTGTGCTTGTTGCTTCAGAAACTATGTGATTTTGGCCTTGCAACTCATCTTCGGAAAGGGGAGACCGCCTGCACAGTGGTAGGCACACCTGGCTACATTGCACCGTGAGTAATTACCATATAACGGATTTCAGCGCTGGCCTTATTTATTTTTTGCTACAGTCAGGTCTTCAAACAGGAGTATGATCAAGCGGCAGACGTTTACTCGTTAGGTGGAGTTTTGTACACAATGCTAACTGGCAGTGATCCTCCTTCAAAAGGTACCACCGAGTCTGTTTTCTCTGCATTATTGTGGCTGTCCTTGAAGCTAATGTTCATGTACTACGCTTGAGGTCCACTGCGCTTCGATGGCCTTGGAATCTCGGCCGTTGAATTGATCGAACGCATGATGGAGCCGGACGCCGGCAAGCGGATATCTCTGAATGGTACATGCGTCTCGTTCTTTGCTTCAATTGTTTTACATTGAGTTTTGACATTTCCATCTTTTCTTTGTCTGTTTCTTTTTACTTTCTGGTCAAGCACGGTGCCTTCTTTTTTCGCGCTATGAAACTCACTCCCTTCTCTCTTGTTCAGATATCCAACAGTCGACTTTCATGATTGATTATTGCGATAACGCTTCAATATCAAGGGAGTGGTCGGCTTTGGGTGATCGCGGTTCAGCTCGCTCTCGTGAGCGGCGACATTCGCGAGAGTTTTCGAAAGAGCGGCGAAGCGGTTACGAAAGGTCTAGGGAAGTAAGTCATCCTAACTCTTTTATACGCTATTCATCTTGGCTGTCGTGCCGTTACTCTGCTATTTTTTGGGGAACGTTGAAAAGGCTAACATTTAAGAAATTTCATGATCTTTAATAGGGAACCGGCAAAACGAAATTAAGAAACTTTCTTTTTTGTGCACAGCTCTGTATTTTCTCTTCAACCATTTCACTTTATTAGTTCATCGACTGACGCATTTCTTTTTCAACTTATTTCCTCTCAACTTTTTACAAGCTTTTGCAACAGTTTATAAACCATAATTCTTCAAGGCATCAATTCAAGGTTTCTTTTATGCTACAGATTGTAAATAAAGCCCGAACATGTAATTCATGTTGAGTCGCTTCTTGTTCAGCGTGTACGTAACGACGAATCCCGCCCGCGAAGAGCTACTAGCAACCCTCCGATCGCCAGCGGACGTCCTAAACTTGTAACTGGCGGAGGCGACAGCGGAATCGACACGAGAAGCGGAGAGGTAATTTTTTTCGAGCAGACGATGCTAACCTAGTTTGCATTTGTTACTACCTTTTACTCATAACTTGCCTCTCGTTTCTTTTTTTTTTTGAAACCATTTATCTCATGCTTTATACCATTTTGCATTTTTATGAAAGATGGCGGGGACTGTTTGCTTCGTTAGTTTTATACGGAACCTTTGTTTTCCCATACTCACTTTGTATTTTTGTTTATTGCAACTCCCTCTTTTGAGTTCAGCGTAGAGGTGTTCGCTGGAGCTCTACGCGCAGTGCAGGTTCATATACCGCAACTACACAGCCCCGTAATGATGGTGAACCAATATGGCCGTTGCCTATTCGCAGATGCGGAGGAACCAAATTGCTCTCCGCTGCAGGACGGGTTAGTTAAAAGTCACAATTTCCTGGAACAGCGGCAGTTCCTCTTTTCAAACTTTTTTTTTACAGTACGTTATCGTGGACGATAACCTGGTGGTATTTGAAGTGGCAAATAAGAGCGGTTTCATCGCGAAAATTGTAACAGTTTCCATCGATGATCATGGCAAGCAACAGGTGAGTATCTGGTGTGTATCTCGATTTTCTTGATCACTATTCAATTTGAGTAGGGTTTCAGGTTACGTTCGGTAGGCCAATGCATCCAGAAATAAGACGACCTCTAGAAAATGATAACCTGATAGCAAAGGATCGTAGGCATGAGTCCTTGCCATTGACAAGGTGAGTTTCGAAAAGTTCTTGTAATGCCGCGATTCTGTCAATATGTTGTTTGTATCACATGTGGTCATTTGCAAATATTTATCTTCTCTCTTTCTCAGTTGAATCTGAGTTTTTACCGTAGTCAATAGAATAATTTCCTCTCTCTGTAAATTAGATTACAACAACTAATATCCTGGTGCAGTGCGCGGTGGTGGGCAATGATGACAACCTCCACTTTCTCCACTTTCCCCCATTGGACCAGGCAGACCTGGTGGTCCAGGTTCTCCTGGGGGACCGTTTCTTCCCGGTTCTCCAGGGGGTCCTCTGGGTCCGTCAGCCCCTGGTGTACCCGGCTCTCCAGGTGGTCCGTCCGGACCTTTTTCACCAATAGGCCCTGGTGGTCCGGGTGGTCCATCTGGTAATTGTACTTCTTCACACACGCCAGGTTTTCCTGGTCTACCAGGTGATCCAGGTTTCCCATCCTCGCCCGGTGGACCTGGAGAACCTGGCCTGCCAGGCTGTCCAGGTATTCCTGGATTACCTTGCGCTCCATCCTTACCTGGTCTTCCAGGTGCTCCTCTCATTCCAGGTCTCCCCGGTGGTCCTGGAAGCCCTGCTGGGCAATCGAAGCAGAAATCGGATGCATTAAACTCGTTAATCCCTGCATCTGGACCTTGCTCTCCTTCTATACCAGGCAGACCATCTATTCCATCTAGTCCATCCGGTCCCGGTGGACCAGGAGGACCTGGAGGACCTATTCTGCATAAGCAGCACTGTTCATCCTTATCTTCTCTGGGGGCATTGGTGAAATGAGCTGAAAAAAATTTTTTGAGGAAATTTTCGAGGCTTTCTACTGTTACTGCTTGATGTCCATTGGCTTACAAGAATGATTATCCCAATTGCCAGTCATTGCGCTCCTTTTTTCGATTGATTTTTTATAGATGCCGAGAGATTTTTGGGTGTCTTCGTATTTTTTCAACAGTACGTTCGAGCGTTGGCGGCAAAAATCAACCTGAAGAAAACTAGACTGCAAGAGTTNCCGACAATGCGGATTTCGACGTGACGCGCCCATGGGACCACGTACCCCTCCTTATGATCGTGACTGGCACCCACCGGTGGGTGGCACTGTCCCAGGAGAAAATTCTTTCACTGACTTACTGGATTTAGCAATTCGCAAGAAACAAGAAAGTACGGTGGCATCCACAATTGGGTGCGAAGGTCCCATGCGCCAGTCAGTGGCACCCACTGGTGGGTGCCATTGTCGTCAAAGGGTTAAAATAGAGCTCTGAAGATGCTATGCACTGTACTAGATTGGGTCATTTTCTCTTCAAACCAACATAACCTTACTTCGGATTGGAGTGTAGACTGAACCATGTGCATGTAGTTATAAAGTGAAGGAATGGAGACAATACAAGTCATTGTAGCAACTGTACTGAAACAAGGTGAAGGACGGACTGAGAAAGTTCTTGGAGAAGGGCAATCACTTACCTGAGGCATATACCAAAAAGAGATATCTTTCGTAAGGCATCAGCTTCATTCCACAGCTGATAGTCAACAGATTTCGTCAGCATTATTGTCAGATCTTAGGCATCGGGTCAGATTTTTATAGTGCAGATATTGCAGCTTTAATTGCACAACTTTCGATTTTCCAGTTGCGGATGCAATTGCTTGCTAAATGATTTGATGGTCACCATCCAGTGCTCTATTGCCCAGATAAAGATCTGCGTTGTCTTTTTCTGAGGCCTTCCTTTTCAACTTTGTGCTCCCGTTCTTGTAGAATGGTCTACGCTGTTGGAAATGGAGGCGTTTTATATTTCGGCGGCTGAAATGCATTGTTTTAGTGAAGGGTAAGGAAATAAGAAGGGTTGAGTGTCTCGATAATTTCATTCTGCTCATCTGAACATAGTCAGAAAATCCTCTCAACCGTTAGTCTGTATTGGGGTAACCAAGGTTTATGCGGTTTTGGGTTCACTCAATGTCCGTGGCTTAGGTCTGATCCGCTTGGTTAATCCTTGCTTTCGAGTTCTCTTACCTGTGCTATTGCCACTGTGTTTGTATGCCTGTAGCGATCGTTTATCGTCTGAAATCAAGTGACTGGTTGTAACAGAAGTGATGTTTCTTTTTTATTCTAGTGTACTGATTGTCCAAAATTATCAAACATCCGCGATGTTTTTTCGTCTAAATGGACTAAATGTGCTTATAATTGATCTGTCCCATTCGCTAAGTGTTTTTAAGCTATGCATCAATGAGTCGCCATGAACGGGATCTTTATGCGCAATTGGCTAATGCGGTGGAAGCGATGAGAGGACGAGTGGACAAAGTGAGTCATTTGCACCACTAATGTTCATAGATCATCAAGGCTCACATCACGGATACTTACAGGTGGTATATCAACGTCCCAAGCAATTTCCAGATGCTGTTGCTAAGATAATGGAAAATGGGTCATTCCGTATTGTGTTCAGGGACCGTAAGTATTGCAATGGACGTTAAGTGTCGAAACATTGGTCAATAACCATTTTTAGAGCGCCGACTAGTACAAAAACAGGGCTCGAAAGAGGTGCAGTTGCATTTCCCGGACGGGCGGAAAGAGGATGTCACTGATTGTGAGTGGATATTTTTCTTTGAATTATTCTTTAATGGTCTATCCTCATAAACATGTTTCTAGATGATATGTTGACACGATTTAATGGCGTGCGAAGATTTTTACAAGATGTTGAACGCGTCTGGGAGCGCCAGATTGGTCTTTTCCCGTTATCCTTCTCCATTTCAAGGTATCAATTTCAATTGTAAAACATTTTTTCGCAGGAGTAAGGATCAGTTCCTCATCCTCTACTTTTACGTTAAACCACAAAATCCTTTCTTGAATTACGCTGGCACATTTTCTAGAGAGTCGGCAACTCCTCCACGTACTGCTCGTTCAGAAGTTCGTGTTCCTCTTGCTGTGAAAAATTCCCAAGCTCAGGTAGTCAGGGACTTATTTAGCATTTGAATTCGCCTCAACTGCAGCACCCGATTGTTCTTTCGTTGCAGTCCTTATTAACGCAGAGATCCGCGCCTGCGACTGTAGGACCTTATCGGAAAATTTCGTTGGAATCGTCAAAAGGGTTGCGCGAAGGAATGCGCTTTAAAATTGTAAGTAATCTTTCGACCTTTTTTCTAACGTGGTGTTATTTTTTTTT